GGGAGCGGGGCAGTGAGGGGCAGTTGTGGGTGTTGGGGATCACTTGGGGAGCACATGGGGCAGTTGTGGGTCTGGGGCTGACTGGGGTGTCAGCTGGGAAACAGTTGTAGGTCAGGGAGATCTCTTGTGGGGACGTTGTGGGTCTGGGGAGTCACTTGGGGGTCACTTGGGAGGCAGGTGTGGGTCTGGGGAGTCACTTGGGGGTCACTTGGGAGGCAGGTGTGGGTCTGGGGAGTCACTTGGGGGTCACTTGGGAGGCAGGTTTGGGTCTGGGGAATCACTGGGGGGTCATTTGGGAGGCAGTTGTGGGTCCGGGAGGCCACTAGGGGGGCAATTTTAGGGCTGAGGGGATTATTTGGGGGCAGTTATGGCTCTGGGGGTCACTGGGTAAACACTTGGGGGGCAGAGGTAGGTCTGCGAGCCCTCTTGGCGGGCAGGTGTGTGTCTGGGGGGTCACTTGGGGGCAGGTGTGTGTCTGGGGGGTCACTTGGGGGCAGTTGTGGGTCTGGGGGGTCACTTGGGGGCAGTTGTGGGCCTGGGGGTCACTTGGGGGGCAGTTGTGAGTCTGAGTGGTCACTTGGGGGGCGGTTGTGGGGCTGTTGTAGGTCTGGGAGATGACTGGAGGGCAGGTCTGGGTCTTTGGGGTCACTTGGAGGGCACTTGTGGGTCTGGGATTTCATTTGGGGGACACTTGGGGAACTGTTTTTGGTCTGGGGGTCACTAGGGGGTCACTTGGGAGCAGTTTTGGGTGTAGAAGGTTACTTGAGGGTCACCTGCGGGCAGTTGTGGGTATGGGGAGTACCCACAGAGCATGAGGCTTGGTTTAGAGAAGCCTCACTGCTCGTCAATGAGGTTGCAGTAGCGGCAGTGTCTGCCTCAGGCATTGGAGTAGCCCCGTTGCTGTGACTGGCACTGCAGCAGCTGCTGTGCTTGTTGCAGTGGCTGGAATAGCTGCAGTGTTTATGCCTATCGTTGCCATGTAGTAGCCACTGTCCCAGTCACGGGGGTTGCAGTAGCCGCAGGGCTTCTGGCTGCCAATGAGAAGCTGCAGTGCTTGTGGCTCGCACTGGAGAAGCCTCACTGTTGATGTGGCTGGAATACCTGCAGTGCCTGTCTTTGGAGTTGTAGCAGCCACAGCACCTGTCCTTGGCATTGGAGTAACCCATGGGCCTGTCGCCATGGTTGCAGTAGGCACAGTTCTTAGGGCTTGGGTTGGAGAAGCCTCACTGCTTGTCGATGAGGTTGCAGTAGCGGCAGTGTCTGTCTCAGGCATTGGAGTAGCCCCGTTGCTGTGGCTGGCACTGCAGCAGCTGCTGTGCTTGTTGCAGTGGTTGGAATAGCTGCAGTGTTTATGCCTATTGTTGCCATGTAGTAGCCACAGTCCCAGTCGCAGGGATTGCAGTAGATGCAGGGCTTGTGGATGGCAATGAGAAGACGCAGGTCTTGTGCCTGGCAGTGAGAAGCCACAGTGCTTGTGGCTCGCACTGGAGAAGCTTCACTGCTTGTTGATGTGGTTGGAATACCTGCAGTGCCTGTTTTTCGAGTTGTAGCAGCCGCAGCACCTGTCCTTGGCATTGGAGTAACCCATGGGCCTCCTGCCATGGTTGCAGTAGGCACAGTTCTTAGGGCTTGGGTTGGAGAAGCCTCACTGCTTGTCGATGGCATTGGAGAAGCAGCAGCGTTTGTCAGTGGCGTTGGAGAAGGCACAGTGCTTCTGGGTAGGGTTGATCTAGGCACTGCCTATGTTGCAGGCCTTAGAGTAGCACCATTGCATCTTCCTAGAGTTGGAATGGCTGCAGAGCTTAAAACTGGTGGTGGAGCAACTGAAGTGCTTGTGCCTGGGGTTGTATTAGTCACAGTGCTTGTTGATGTGGCTGGAGTAGCCACAGTGCCTGTCCTTTGCATTCAAGTGGCTGATGTGTCTGTCACGGTACTTTGAGTACCCGCAGAGCATGAGGCTTGGTTTGGAGAAGCCTCACTGCTCGTCAGTGAGGTTGCAGTAGCGGCAGTGTCTGTCTCAGGCATTGGAGTAGCCCCATTGTTCTGGCTGGCACTGCAGCAGCTGCTGTGCTTGTTGCAGTGGCTGGAATAGCTGCAGTGTTTATGTCTATCGTTGCCATGTAGTAGCCACTGTCCCACTCACTGGGGTTGCAGTAGCCACAGGGCTTGTGGATGGCAGTGAGAAGCCGCAGTGCTTGTGGCTCGCACTGGAGAAGCCTCACTGCTTGTTGATGTCGTTGGAATACCTGCAGTGCCCATCACTGGAGTTGTAGCAGCCACAGCACCTGTCCTTGGCATTGGAGTAGCCCATGTGCCTGCTGCCATGGTTGCAGTAGGCACAGTTCTTAGGGCTTGGGTTGGAGAAGCCTCACTGCTTGTTGATGGGTCACTGGTGTTGGAGAGGCTGCAGTGGTTGTGGCTGGCACTGGAGTAGCTGTAGTGCTTCTGGTAGGATTTGCAGTAGCCACAGTGTTTGTGCCTGGGGTTCTTCTAGCCACTGCAAATGTTGCAGGCCTTAAGAGTAGCGGCAGTGCTCCCTCCTAGAGTTGGAATAGCTGCATACCTGGAAACTGGTGGTGGAGAAACTGCAGAGCTTGTGCCTGGGGTTGGATTGTTTAAAGTGCTTCTTGATGGGGCTGGAGTAGCCACAGTGCCTGTCCTCTGCATTCAAGTGGCTGATGTGTCTGTCACGGTACTTTGAGTACCCGCAGAGCATGAGGCTTGATTTGGAGAAGCCTCACTGCTCGTCAATGAGGTTGCAGTAGCGGCAGTGTCTGTCTCAGGCATTAGAGTAGCCCCGTTGCTGTGGCTGGCACTGCAGCAGCTGCTGTTCTTGTTGCAGTGGCTGGAATAGCTGCAGTGTTTATGTCTATCGTTGCCATGTAGTAGCCACTGTCCCACTCACTGGGGTTGCAGTAGCCACAGGGCTTGTGGATGGCAGTGAGAAGCCGCAGTGCTTGTGGCTCGCACTGGAGAAGCCTCGCTGCTTGTTGATGTGGTTGGAATACCTGCAGTGCCCATCACTGGAGTTGTAGGAGCCACAGCACCTGTCTTTGGCATTGGAGTAGCCCATGTGCCTGCTGCCATGGTTGCAGTAGGCACAGTTCTTAGGGCTTGGGTTGGAGAAGCCTCACTGCTTGTTGATGGGGCTGCAGGAGCAGCAGTGTGTGTCACTGGTGTTGGAGAGGCTGCAGTGGTTGTGGCTTGCACTGGAGAAGCCTCACTGCTTGTTGATGGGCTCCAGGAGCAGCAGTGTGTGTCACTGGTGTTGGAGAGGCTGCAGTGGTTGTGGCGTGCACTGGAGTAGCTGCAGTGTTTGTGGCTGGGGTTGTCGTAGCCACTGTATACATAGCAGGCCTTAGAGTAGTGCCATTGCTCCTTCCCAGAGATAGAGTAGCTGCAGAGCTTAAAACTGGTGGTGGAGTAACTGCAGTCCTTGTGCCTGGGGCTGGATTAACTGCAGGGCATGTTGAATTGGGTCGCACCAGCCACAGTGCCTGTCCTCGGCGTTTGAGTGGCCAATGTGTCTGTCGCTGTATTTGTAGTACCTGCAGTGCTTGTGGCTTGGGTTTGAGAAGCCTCACTGCTTGTCTCTGAGTTTGGAGTAGCCACACTCTTTTTTTTGCCCTGGTTGGAATAGCAGCAGTGCATGTTGCTGGAGTTGTAGCTGTAGTGACAGTCCTTGCCATTGGAGTAGCCACAGTGCCTGTCGCTATTGTTGGTGTCACCGCAGTGGTTGTGGCTGGTGTTGGAGTAGGTGCAGTGCTCGTGGCTGGTCTTGGAGTAGCCGCTTTGTCTGTTGCTTTGCTGTCAGATCTTGTCTCTCCTCACTGCAGAGCGTGAGAGACTGAATCAGCCTTGCTCAGGGTAAGTGCTAACCAGAAACCACTATACAATCGGTGTGTTACCAGCGTTATCCTCAGACTAAAGCCCAACCTCACCACTGCCCCAGCTACAAGGAGGAGATATAACTCTTATGAGGTGTCCCTCTGACACCTATTGCTCTCCAAAGAACCCAGAAACCAATCCTCACAAGCCCCCCAATAACTGCAAAACACCCCCAAAACACCCCCCAAAACACCCAATCCCCCAAACACCTCCCAAAACACCCAACCTCACCAAACTCCCAAAACCCCCAAACACCCAAAACCACCAGCTCTTCGGAAAACCCACAAAGTCCCCCCCCAAAAACAACCCCCAAAACCTCAAAGTCTCCAAAAAATCCCCACAGGCCCTCAAAATCCATCCCAACCTCCCAAGAGCCCAAATCCCCACCAAAATACCCAACCTGCCAAAACCCCCAAACCCCACACTCCCCCCAAGAGGCACCCCCAGCTTACTTGCCCAGCTGCTGGCTCAGCCTGTGAGGGTGGAGGGCGGCTGTCTCCTGGGGCAGTGGATGTTTGCAGCCAAGGGTGGTTGAACACATCGTCCAGGGATGGCCTGTCGCGAGCTCTCATGGACAAGCACCACCTGATGAGGTGCTGGCATTCTGGGGAGAATCCGGGAACTGCCGCTCAGTTGCAGGAGGCTCCTGCCTACCTTGTGCCACCGTCCGCAGCGCCCAGGCCTGGGTGCGCTCAGAGCTGCACCCAGACCTCCTGCTCCATGACTCGGTTTGGAGGAGAGCAGGATGGCAGGACATGGGCCACCTCCTCCAGCTGACCAAGGGAGATCAGCTGCCACCCCCTAAACCCCGACCTTCCCCTGCTGCTGCGAAGCCAGGTACCTACCGACAGAGATCCGGCGCTGGAAGAAGAGCTGCCCGCTGACGATGTCCTCGCAGCACCGGAAGGGGAGGACCCCGCACACCATCTCATACAGCAGCACGCCCAGGGACCAGATCGCCGCCGGACGGCCGTGGTAGCAGCGCCAGCGGAACCACTCCGGCGGGTAGTACAAAGGTGTTCCTACAACAGGATACGGGCGCACCTCATTAGGCAGATGCCGCCTGCTCCTGGATTCTCGCCCGCGGATCCCCAGGGATGCAGGGGCTGCACCGGTGGCGCCACGGACGTGGGGACGCACACTCGGTGTGACCCGCCACCTCGTCATCAGCACGTGACTCTTGTTCACAAACTGCCCGGTACGGGAAGCACCCTGGGCTGTGGGCTCACCGCTAAATTTGGTGTAGACCGTGTCCCTGAGGAGGGTGCTGCAACCAAAGTCAATAAGCTTGACCTCTCTGGTGGCCAAGTTGATGATGATGTTCTTGGGCTTGATATCCCTGTGCAGGACACCGCGGCTGTGGCAGTGCCGCACAGCCACCAGCACCTGGAGGAAAATGCCCCGCGCCAGATCCTCGGGCAGGAACCTCCGTTTTTTGATGAAGTCAGAGAGGTCCTGCGATGGCTCCGGACGCTCCAGAACCAGCACAAAGGAGTGGGGCAGCTCAAACCAATGGAGGAGCTGGATGATGGCACTGCAGCCGGAGCGCACCTTCCTCAACATGGCTATCTCCAAGGGAATGCGAGTGCCGCTGGGCTGCAGGGGGACCACGGCACCGTCAGCAGGGCCGATGCTGGCCCGGGGCTCCTGTGCCTCCCTGCCTGGGATGCTCTGATGCCCTCCTGCAGGTGCCCCCCGCAAGCCCCAGGGATGCTCTGGTGCACCCCTACCCGGCCCGTGTCCCCTGGTGACTCCACACCCACTCCCCTCTCGCCGTCCCACTTTCCCCCCCGCCGGCCCCACCGGCTCACCCCCACCCGCTCTGCCCCGCACTGTCCCGGTGGCCCCGCGCACTCACCCGCTCCCCCCACGAGGAGATGCGCTCCCGAGCCACTTGTTTGATCGCCACCTGCGAGCCAAGGGCAGCGCTGGGCTGAGCTGAGCTGAGCCGAGCCCCGCCACCTCCCCGGCCCGCCGCCGGGCCCGCCCTTACCGGGCTGTTGTCACACAGGCGGAGCCCCGAGTACACGGACGCGAAGCCGCCTCTCCCCAGCAGCGGTCCCACGCGGTAAAGCCGCTCGAAGCTCTCCTTGTCGTGCCCCGTGCGACAGACGCGGCCGCTGTCGCTGCGCGCGGGGTCCCCGCCGGCCCCCACCGGGCGCTCCGGGCCGAGCGGAGCCGCATCATTCCCGGCCTTTCCCGGCCGAGGCTCCGCGGCGCGCCGCTCCCCGCCGGTCCCGGAGCGCAGATAGGCCGACGGGTCAATGCGGGTCAGGAGGAGCACGGGCACCTTGCCCGACCGCGCTGCCGGTGACGGCACCCCCGCAGCAGCACCGCGCTCCGGGGTCTCGGGGGTCGCGGCTGCCGGGAGGCTGCGGGGCGGGGAGGGAGCGGGCGCTCCGCCGCCGGTCCGCGCTCCGCCGGGCACCTGTGGGTGGTGGCGGCCCCCGGCCGGCCCCAGGCGGGGCGGGGCCTGGGGGCGGGCCGGGGAGCGCCAGGGGCCGGCGCTGCCTCGCCAGACCCAGACCCAGCGGCGGCGGCTCGCCCAGCGCCGCCACTGCCAGTACCGGGAGAGGGGAGCGGTGCCGCGAGCCCCTGCGGGGGGACGCTGGGGGGACGGGGGAGGCACCATCGCGGGGAGCGGCGGAGGGCGGGCTCCGGACCGCCGAGAGCTGCCGCCGCCGCCTCACCTGGTGCTGCTGCCGCTGCTCCTGCCCAAGCCGCTGCCGCTCAGAAGCCGCTGCCGAAGTCGCTGCCGCTCAAAAGCCGCTCAGAAGCCGCTCAAAAGCCGCTGCTGCCGCCGCCGCCGCAGCCTCGCTGTCAACGGCTCTGTCCACGCGCGCCCCGGGCGCCCGCTGCCACCGGGCGGAGCGGCCGGCGGGGGGGGTCTCGCGGCCGCGGGAGCCCGGGGAACGGCGGAGCGGGCCCTGCCCAGCCCCGCGGCCGGGCTCGTGCGCCCCCCGCCCGGCAGCAGCATCCCCGCGGCCGAGCCTTTGGAAACTGAACCTGAGCCTCGGGACCCTGCGAACGAGGCTTTAGAACTGAAACCGGAGGCTTTGGGAAGTCACAAGGAGGCTGCGATTTACTGCTTATTTTATCCCCTTTTTCCTTTCCACAGAGGTGGATTGAGGTGAGATTGTGATGAACACATAAATGTATTGGCTTTCTCAAATCATAGGTGTGCTCACGTGCAGGATATAACTGTACGAGTTTACAGTAACAGAAACACAACACGCTAAAGATACCAGACAGACAAGTTAAAAAGGTTCAGATCTCTTGATCTAAATGGAGTCACCTAGCAAAGGAATTTGTAAAGGTAAGAGAAGGTGGGGGGTGAAGCTTGGTATAAGGAAAGCTAGTGCCTGGAAAACATAGGGTTAAAGTACTGTTTAGCTTAACTTAGGCTGTAGAAAGAGAACAGTGTTTATGTTGTAAGTCTGGGGGATGTCGTGGCCCCACTTAAACATGAGTTAATTGTTTCACGCTGGTCTCCTAAAGTAGTTTTAAAGAGCAATGTTTGTGTTGTAAGTCTGTGGTGAGATAACAGGCTTTAGTGGCCCCACTAAACATGAATGAGTTATTTCACACCATCCTTATCAGTTAGTTTGGAGACAGAGCCTCCCAAGGCTCTGCTAGCTTGGGATACTCCTTGTCTGCCCATCCTGCAATAAATTTTGCAGGAAGGTCACGCTGTTTTAAATCCTTGCTAGTTATCAGAATAATTACAGATATAGCTGGTTGTGTGGTTGCTGGGGGGTCCAGGTGTGCCAGAGGTGAAAAGTACACCGTGAGGAAGACTGCTTACTGCATCTTGAAGACCCCTGCTCACAAGAGGAAGACTGTTTACTTCATCCTCAAGCCCCCTGCTCACAATCACCACAGAGCAGTGCGCAGATGCCAAGAGGAGGAGACTTGTGATGATAAATTCTTGATGCTAGTTATAATATCCTCCGCCTATATGCAGGAATTATGAATATGCATGTAACTAATGTAATACTGAAAGTATATAAACCTGTACCAAATGCTAATCCCTTGCGCCTCTGGCTGCGGTCAGGCGCCCAGCGCTGTCGCTTTTGCTTTCTTGACTTTGTCCCTCACTAAACCCTCGTTACCTCGTTTAGAGGAGTGAGTTCGTATTTCACAAGCTCTCAGGAAGCTCTTCCCTGTGAGGTTGCTGAGGCGCTGGCGCAGGGTGCCCAGAGGAGCTGTGGCTGCCCCATCCCTGGCAGCGTTGGAGGCCGGGTTGGACACAGGGGCTTGGAGCAAGCTGCTCCTTCCATGTGGAAGGTGTCCCTGCCCGTGGCAGGGCTTGGAGCTGGAGGAGCTTTAAGGTCCCTTCACCCCAGCCCATCCGGTGCCTCTGGGATCCCATGGGGGGCGGCTCCTCCATGAGGAAAGGCCCCGCCCCTCACGGGGGTCCCGCTGCCCCCCCCTTCCCCGCCCACTGCCCCGTGCGCATGTGCCGGAGGCCGGACTACAGGTCCCAGCGTGCCCCGCGCGGGGGAGCCGTGCGCTGATTGGCTGCGGCGGAGGCGGGCCCAGGGCGTGAGGCGGAGCTGCATCCGGCAATGGCGGCGGCAGAGCGGGAGGAGGTGAGGGTGAGCGGGCGCGGCGCGGGTCTGGGGGGCGCTGCAGAGCCCGGGGAGCGGGGCTGGGGGTCTGCGGCCCCCCGAGGCTCTGGGCAGTGGGGCCGGGCGCTGCGGGGGAATGCGGGGGGCGGGTGCGAGCGCTGGGCAGTGGGGCTGCGAGATGGCTGGGAGTGTGGGGTGCTGCGAAGCCGGGGCATGGGGGGCTGGGAGCTGTGGGGGTCCCGCAGCTTTCCGGCCCTGGGGATGGAGCGGGGCTGTTGTGGGGGGCCCTGGGGGCTGTTTCCCCCCGGGGGGGGAGGTGCTGCTGGGGCAGCCGATCCCCGGCACCCGGGGGGGTTGTGCAGAGGTGTCGTTGACTCTGAGCTGGGTTTTGGCTCCTGGAGCGGGATGGGGAGCAGGAAGGGAAGGATGAAAAACCCGAGGGTGGAGATAAGAACAGTTTAATAACCGAAGCACAATGTACTAGTGCTGGTGATAGTGATAATAATGATAAGGGAAATAACAAGAAGAGAGAAAAAAAAAAAAAGAGGAAAAGGAAAAGAAAACCCAAGCCAATAAACACAAGTGATGCCCAATACAATTGCTCAGCACCCGCTGAGTGGTACCCAGCCCGACCCGAGCAGTGATCCTTCCCTTCCAAAGAACTCCCCCCAGTTTAGGTACAACTAAAACGTCAGTGTGTTGTCAGCATTGCTCTCGGAATAAAGCCAAAGCGTTGCTCTCAGTGTGGTTTTCAGCAGCCCATTGTACCATTTCCATTTCAAGTCTCAGTGTGTTGAGAAGGGCCAGAACCTCTATTTGCCCTGCTGCTGATTTCCCCTGGTCATCGAGCTGAAGGCTTTAGATGTGGGAGCAGTTGATCTAGGGTTTGTTCATGTAATTTTATGCCATCTAAAAACTAAACGGAGTTTCTCTCATTAAAGCTCTACAAATGCCCTTTAAATCCTAGCGCTTTTAATGTGTGAGATAGCTGTGGATGGCCCAGTACAGAGGCTACGCGTACAGCACCCTACAGTACAAAATATGTATGACCTTCCTGGTCAGTGCGTGCGGCTGAAAATGAGTGTGCTGTCACAGGAGGTTATTTGAGGATGAACTGGAAATGTTCCAGGCCTTGTTTCTGGGGAAGTCTCTCGTTCCCAGGTTGTCCTGGTGCTCTGTGGACAGGCTCCTGGCCATGTGTTGTCTGTGCAGGTGTCCGGGAGGCTCCGTGCTTCGTCACGGAGTCGCGTCCTGCACTGAGGTGACTCTTAGTTACTGCCGTAGCTCAAGCACAGGTTCTCGCCAACGGCTGCAGTTGCTGTGAGTGCTGGTTTTTGTAAACACGTTTTTTTTTCAGGGGATTTTCTCTTCTGGGAAACGTTTGCATGGGATTTCTATAGTTAAAAAAATACACAACTGCTTTGTTTTCCCCCTCTGCTTGCCTGTGGTGAGTAGGAAGGAGAAGGAGAATGCCTGGCAGAGACGGGTAAAGAAGAGAAAGGGGAAGAAACAAGCCCAGAGAAGCAGTGCGAAAGATGCCAGTGAAGAGCAGGGAGAAGAGAAGCAGCAGCCTCCAGCAGGTCAGGCGAGAAAGTGCCCCTCCCAGAGCAGCGTCCCAGAAAAAGGAAGGCGGCGAGAAGTTGGAGTCTCAGGTGAGCCTCCTGCTGAGGGAATGGGTCGTGGGTTTTGGTGTCTGAGAAGTTGAAGGGTGAGAAGCAGTCTCTAGGTTCAGGCAGGCCTCGGTCAGACACAGCAGTGGAGCAGCTATTTATTTAACGTTTGTGCACAAACGGGTGTCCTGGCAAGCAGGCACACACAGCAAAGGCAGAACTTTGATTTGTATTTCCTTTCCCATCCTCACGTTCCCTCCCTTGTTACCCCACTGGTTGGGGACTCCAAGGTTTACAGCCTCTCTGACGTGTACAATCTACGTGCTAACTGTCCCGCCTCTGGTTACACCTCCCCTTACTCAGTTTCGTACACCCCTTCCTCTTACTTCTTTCTTTCTGTCCTTTTAGGGTTTGATTTCATAACTCTCTGGCAGGCACATGGTACCCCAACTTACTGCTTAACTACAGCAGCAGTTTGCACCGGCTTAGCCCCAGTCCCAATATTGCAAAGTCTTAGTATTACAAAACCTTAATATTGCAAAGCCTCATCCCAAATGTGCAAACCCAACAGTGTTTCTCTCTCATGCGTGATTTTTCCCAGCAGGGAGCCTGCCATTCTCTTTTCCCAGAATCATAGAATGCTTTGGGTTGGAAAGGACCCTTCAAAATGCACTGGCAAATGCATTGTGTCCCTTTCCAAATGCTGCAGTAAGCATTACTGAAGGCAATTCCATAGAACAGGGCAGTTTGGGAGGTGGCCTTTTTTCTTGCTTTCTGATTGCACTGACATTCCTTACCCTTCTCTACCCCTAGTGTGTCTTCTTTCCTTACAGCTTGGGTCTCACAGTGCCCAGGCAGGTTTGTGACCTACATTGATACAGTGC